AATGAAAAAGGTTTAGGTAATTATTATTGTATTCTATTTTCTTATAAGCAGAAAAAGTCTTTAAAGAATTTATTTCTGGATTATAATTATTTTAATTTTGCTATAAATCTCTTTTTTTACAGCATTTGATACCCTTCCATATTCTGTTGAAGAAGTTGAAAGAATAACCCGTTTAGCAGCTCATTTAGCACTTGAAAAAAACCCTCCAGCAACAATACACTCACTTGATAAAGCAAATGTACTTGCTACGTCACGACTCTGGCGTCGTACTGTTAGCAGAATTATTAAAGATGAATTTCCTTCTGTTCCACTTAAACATTATTATATAGATGCTGCAGCTATGTATTTGGTGAAAAATCCGACAATGTTAAACGGAATTGTTCTTACTGAGAACTTATTTGGTGATATCTTGAGTGATGAAGCTAGTATTATTCCAGGAAGTCTTGGTCTTTTACCTTCTGCAAGCTTAAATGGTTTGCCTGACGGAAAGCATCGATGCCTCGGATTATACGAACCTATTCATGGTTCTGCTCCTGATATCGCTGGACAAGGAATAGTAAATCCTATAGCAACTATTCTTAGTGTTGCTATGATGCTTCGTTATTCTCTGAATTTGCCCCGTGAAGCAAAAGCAGTTGAAGATGCCGTACAAAAAGTCCTTGATGATGATGAATTTGGTGGTTGTGGTTATCGCACCAAAGATTTAGGTGGTACACACACTACATCCCAAATCGGTGACAAGATTATTGAAGTTCTTGAAAGTTATTTGGAAGGTTTGAGTTCGGAAGATCGTACAACTGGCATAAATCCAATTCGTGACTTTTTGTTACAAAGACCATCTGGTCGTCGTGGTATGACTATGTGTGAAAAAATTATTACTCATGCTGCCATTGGACTTCCTCCTCCTGGTCATGTAAAACCAGGTGATATGGTTTGCGTTAAAGTTGATTGGACTTTAGCATCTGAACTTACTTGGAAAGGCATGGAAAAAACCTTTGATGTAATGGGTCGACCAGGAATTTATCGTAATGATCGATTTTGGCTCGCCATTGATCATACAGTTGATCCTCGTATCAACCATCTTCCTAAACCTGCTGGTCTTATCAAAGCTTCAGAGAATTTTGCTAAAGAAGCAAAGATTGTAGATTTCTATCGTCCAAATCACACTATTTTGCATACTGAATTTTACCGTACACGTGCTCAACCCGGACAGATGATTATCGGTGCAGATTCACATTCATGTTCAGCAGGTGCTGTCAGTGCATTTGCTGTAGGGTTAGGTGCAGCTGATGTCGTTATGCCTATGGTCACTGGAGAAACTTGGTTCAAGGTTCCAGAGACTGTAGAAATAAGATTTGTTGGTAAACCTCCTTTCGGTATTGGAGGCAAAGATGCAATTCTCTATGTGCTTGGTGAACTTAAACGTAATACAGTTGCTTTTGAACGTGCAGTGGAATATACCGGTCCTGGACTTAAATATCTTTCTTGTGATGCACGTTTTGCAATTTCAAATATGGCTACAGAATTTGGTGGTATCGCTGGTGTATTTGAGGGTGACGAAATTACTGCAGCATTTATTGCAAAACGAAAGAATCCTACTCACAAGAACTCAGCGCTATACTTCCGTGCAGACCCTGATGCAGTGTATGCTGAAACCCATATAATTGATTTATCTAAAGTTGATTCTCTCGTTGCTTTATACCCATCACCAGATGATGTAGTAAGCGTGAAAAAGATTGAAGGAAAAAAACTCGATGGTGTGTTTATTGGTGCTTGTACAACAGCAGAGGAAGATCTAATTCTTGCTGGCTTAGTCTTAGAAGCAGGGCTCAAAAAAGGCTATAGACCTACTATAGGTGGTACGAGACGTGTTACGCCCGGTAGTTTACCGATCGTTGCGAAATTACGTCGTCTTGGTTTGTTGAAATTTTATGAACAAGCAGGGTTTGAAATTGGTGCACCAGGTTGTTCTTATTGTATTGCAGTTGCGGCAGATCATGCTGGTGATGGTGAGGTTTGGCTAAGTAGCCAAAATAGAAACTTTAGAAATCGAATGGTTAGTTTTATAAATGTTTTAAACTTAATAATTAGGATATTACAATTTGAAGTTTGCTTAATGTTATCTCACAGAAACATATGATAACATCATCTACAAACTTTTCAATATCCTTTAATTAAAACGTTTAACAATGAACAATGTTTGAACTGCGATATATGTTAACTATTTTTATTTAATTTAGGGTAAAGGTGCTATTGGAAATTTGGCATCTGCGGCTACAGTTGCTGCATCTTCGTTTGAAATGCAAATCCGTGATCCCAGAGAACTACTTGATTGCATTGATGCTGATAAATATTACGAATACCTCGAGCAATGGATCGACCCAGGCGTATCATTTACTTTATCTGAGCCAAATCCTACTTTATGTGATCCTGACCAACCTAAGGCCGGAAACTCTGATGCTCCGCCACCAAAATCCTTGTCTGATGTTATAATTACCGGTAAAGTTCAACGCTTTGAAGATAATATTGATACTGATGCTATAATTCCAGCTCAGTTCATGCCAGGAATCGATGATGAAGATTTAGGCAGTCATGCATTCCAACATGTAAGACCTGACTTTGTTAAAAAAGTGAAAGAAGGTTTCAATATTGTCGTTGGTGGTTCAGGGTTTGGGTCAGGATCATCACGAGAAGAAGCGCCGAGAGCTCTGAAAGGTGCGGGAATAAAAGCCGTCATCGCAAAGAGCTATGCATACATTTATAGTCGAAATCAGGTAATGAGCTGTTTCTTACACTTTAGATTTGTCATCATAACTAGTTATTATTGTATTAATATCAATATCACACATAGCCAAATATGGCCCTCTTGGGAGTCACTGTAAGTGATGAAGAATTCTACACACTTGCACAAGAAGGTGCTGAAATTACGATTAATGTTAAGGATCGTACTGTTATTTGTTGTGGAAAAACATTCAAATTTGGCTTATCCGAGATGGAAGAAAAAATAATTGCATCTGGTGGTGTAACTGAAATGTATAAAAAATATGGTGATAACCTATTTAGGGCTGCAGTCGGAAACGAGACGGGATCAAGCTGTTCTGTTGAAGCATCAAAAGGTGAGGGCTGTGGAACAGATACACGAGAGTTAGCTTGGTAAAAACCAATAACAAAGAATACATATCTGTATATTCATATTCAATTTTTTGAGTTTATTTAAATTTTTATTTATCATTAGTCACTTTTTTAAAAAAGAGTCTGTGTTATATAATCCATGTACAGTAATTTATGGGATATTCTGATAATCTACAATTATTATTATTAAATGAAAATATCTTTGCTTATTTGATGTATATTGAATATCGAGGTTTGCAATAATAGATATGAAACTGCTGATAGTGAAAATAATTTTTATAAACTTGCGCATATAATTAGTAACAAGATAATAACGATTGATAGTTATTTTTAATATTTCGCAGCTGTGTAGCGACAAGTGATATCAAATCTTCATTGCCGCTGATTAAACGAATTTAGGAGACACGATAACTAATTCTTCACGGAAACTTGCCAAAAATTGTAGTTGTATATTTATTGTGTTATAATAAATATAACTTATATTTTTTTAAAAAAAAACTGGGTTAATAATATTTTATTATGTTCTTTCTCTTCATGATGAGTTTATAATTAGTAATTGTAATGTTTAAAAATGATCTTTTTTAAAAAAATATATGATAACATTATAATTACTGGTTATAAACCTATCATGCAGAGAAAAAGCTTAATAAAAAGATTATTAACCCAAATTTTTTTTAAAAAATATTATAATATTTTAAAATTGTTAGAAAATATATCAGAAATTTATATTTTTAATTATAAATTTTTTTATACCAAAGGTATATTAAATAATAGATTTTAAATTATTTTGTGATTTAAATAATTTTTGAATTATAGCTATTTATTTGTATGTTGAATTCTTTAATCGGTCAAGAAAATACAGTATTTTTAACAGTTTTGAATAGTTTAAACTATCTAATCAAAAAATTTAATTGAATATATTTATGCTATACAGTATATATAGAACAAATACTAATTTAAAATGAATTATATAAAATGTTTTGATTTTTTTGTTTAACAACTTTTATTTTGTAAAAATTTCAAAACTATAAAATTCAATACACATAATCTGTAATAGTAAATAATCTTTACTTTTAAAATTTATATAGTCTAATATATATTAAATTAATTAATTAAATTAAATAGCTTTTTTCATTATAAAAAATACAATATATAGAAAAAGATAGCTATAATTAAATATATTATTTATTATACAGTATACAGTATATAAATAAAATTTAATAATTAATTTTGTTTTTAATATATATTTTGATATATATTTTTATAATTTTTTTTTTTTTTTTTTGTAATTACTTTTAAAATTATAATATAATTTTCTAGTTTGACAAGCATTTAAAAATAATTCTATTTTAATAATAATCTTCTGTTTTTTGTAATAATTTTTTTCATTATATTTTATATTTCACAATAATTGTTCATTAGCACTTTTACTTGTATTTTTTAATATATATTTTATTTTATATTTTTATTTTTGTAATTACTATTAAAATCATATAGTAATAATTTCTATTTTGACAAGCATTTAAAAATAATTCTATTTTAATAATAGTCTTCTGTTTTTTGTAATAATTTTTTATTATATTTTATATTCCACAATAATTGTTCAACATTAGCACTTTTACTTACTTTCGTTAAATTTTTTTGATAAAAAAACGTACTACAAAAAAAAAGCTTAATAAATTTATAATTCTTATTATTATTTAAAAAATTTTATTAAATGTTTTATATATAGATATATATATTAAAAAAAAAAAAAAAAAAAAAAAAAAAAAAGGGGAAAAAAATACACAGTATTCTTTAACGTTAAAAAAACCAATCATATTTTAAGCTATCTCGGTCTAGAATAAAATTGTAAACCTCAGGCTTATTTAAGGATTCTCTTTTTCTAAATCTCGGCTTTTTTGACAGTTATTTTGGGCCGAATTGGTGAAACGTTTACCTTTACCTCTAAACCCATTATTCTTAAAAGAATTAGGTCCTATTCGATTCGGAAAATTTTGCTTTTTATAACCAAGCATCGAGTTTGGCGCTGATTTTCTCGCAGGACACAATTTTGCTGGATGCAACCCACCACATTTGTCGACAGCACATACGTGAGATCGCTTGCAATAAGGATAATGACACCTTTCATAATTATATTTGTTGCAAATCTCTTTGCCCCTTTCGTCATATGCTACTTGATCCCATCTATCTCTACGAAGGCTAATAAAGCCGGTTCTATGCTCGACGATGGGATAAAAATACCGATCTTCTAAGTCTGGTGCAGGCATCATTAGCGTCAATTGCCGATTTTTACATAAACGCATTCTCCTCTCTTGATCGTATTGAAAAACAAGATCAAAAGGATACGAATCACTTTTTTCGACGATATGACGTTCATATGAATCGAATTCTTCTCGACGATGAGGATATAATGATAATACTGCTTCGGAATAGATTGTGAAAGCTTTTAACCAATGCATGATAACATCAATTTTACAGAAAAGCTGTAGATCAATGTATTCATTCATTGCAATTAACCTCCATTGTTGTAAAGTTAACTGAGGTTGAAGGTCAAGTTTTTCTAGTTCTCCAAGGGCAGTTCCTTCATTATCAATCCACCAAAGACGAATAGTCTCTGTAAGACGCGCGGTAGCGTCAGGTATTTCTTCGATTGATGGGAGACAACGTGATAATGGATATTCTATAATTGGACGAGGAGGAGTGCGCTGTTTGTTTCTTCGCTCAATGATTAGGTTGTGATCAATACGTGGAACATCAACATGATTTTCTCGCCAGTTCGGACCCTGATGTACCTTTTTTTCGATATATTCATTTTGAAATAAAGGTTGTCCGGTAAGAGCTATGTTCTTAGGCTCTGTTATATTCATTGTTTGCCAGAGTGTGGCAGTTTGATATTGCGGATTCATAAAAGTGCCATTTGGAAGAACTAGAGCTCCACCTTGATGAGCAAAGACATACTCTTGATTAGATCCCAAAGCAATATGTGGTAAGGAAGTTACAGTTTGATTGGGAGATAAAGCCTGGTTCAACGGCATATTTGCAACAGAATACATAGTGGGAGCAACTGTAGTTGTTGCAGTTTGAAAGAAACGTGGATCGAAAAGCTTCGTGTTGATTTGAGATTGTTCAACACCGAAAGGGGCGTTGAAAGCGTTGTTAGAATCATCAGACATAATTTCAGGGGAGGGATTGAAAAGATCGTGCATATTTGTTTATTACAATTGTTTAGCTTTTATATTAGCATTAAAAATTTAACAATGTACGATATGAATAGATGATCATTGTGTTGACTTTTATTTTTTTTTATGAATGGCTTCTTCCTCAATGATGAAATTATTGCTGTATGTACTTACGTATCAAGTTAACGTCATTAGATTACAAACTCAACATCTATATTTATGTGTACATAGTGTTCACGTGTACACAACATCCAAAATTACACATTTGTTCAACGTAATTTTAAGCCACATAATTTCGACCGTTAAAAAAATAAAATTACATGTTATTTACATTTAAGGATAGGTTAGGCCACTCCAAATTGATTCTTTGTTTAACATAAAAAAAGTATTTCGTAAAAGAGGGGGACATTAAACAACACCAAAAATACAAAAATATAAAAAATAAAAAATATAAAAGTTCAAAAAGCTAATACTGTAATTTGATTGGTTAATATGTTGATTTTTTTTATGTAAATTTTTTAAAAACAGAGGGGGAGGGTTATGTTAAACATAGAATTGTCATATTCGAAAAAAGTGTCTCTAGAATGAGATACTCGAATCGCGTGACGATTTGCACAATCCAATTTTATTTAGGGATGTTAAGTGGTCCGCAGGGGACCGGGTCCGGACCGGTTCTGGACTGGACTTTTTGCAACTAGTCCAGATAATCGCATGATATGAATTAAATGAAATGTCATTTTGATATTACGAATGAAATTTAATAAAACTTAAATCAAGAACAATACTTTTAATTGCCTTAATTTAAGGAAGTATAAGGTTCTTTAATTGGGGTAGATATTCTGATTGATTGTTTTGGTGATTGTTTTTTTTGCCGTATAATACAAAATTTCAAAATTATATGCATTGTATATATATTAAAACCACTAGAGTTGGACCGGTTTCGGACAGGGGTTATTAACTAGTTTCTAACTAGTTCGGGTCCAGACTTTTTAAGGACCGGACTGGGACGGATTTTTTAACATCCCTATATTTTATTACAGTATTAGTTCGGGATTATACTAATAGAGGTACGAGTTGAATTAATAGTAAATTTTCAGGCATTTTGTCCACTTTAAGACTTCAAATTTTATCCATTTAAGCCTTGTACCTTCTAAATTCCGACCATTTAATAATATATATATAACATAATTTATTTCAGTTCTGTAACTTACATTGTAACATGGTTACGTAAGTTAAAATATATCATAGTAAAACAGGCCGGCTTTAGTATTAATGCCAGCCAGAATAAATTTGGCCAGCATTAAGATTATTAAAGGATGAACTCTTATTATCATTATTTATACAGTATATAAACAATACAGATCAAGTCTGGACTAGACTTTAGGGACTAGTTCAGAACTAGTCCGAAAACTAGCTCTATAATCTTGTAATTTCAAGGTGGTTTGGATCAAGTTTGATATAAAAGAATCCTACTCTAAATTTAATTGATTAATAATCAATTTTAATTACCTTTATTAGTGGGTCCCTAAACTTAATCCGGTGGTTTAATTGGCTAATTTATACAATTAAAACACAATACTTGTTCTATATATTAAACTGTTATAATAAAACTAATTTTTAACTATTTTTTGATAAAACAATTCATTATCACACAACTCTTTTCAACAATTACTTGGTTCAAAATTTCTACAAAAAAAAAGTCTTTGTTTTTTTGCTAGAGATAGGTGCAGAGGTCTAAGTAGTCTTAAAAGCAGGATGGTTTTTATAGAGTTTAACTTTTTACTCTATGGGGACTCCTTTATATATTTAGCAAGCAAGCCAAAAATATTGTTATACAAGATAACTGGCAAAAGGTAGTGTTTTTGTATATGAAATTTTGGTGGAGAGGTGGAGGTGAAAAGTTCAAGCTATCTATCAACAAAGTGAGCTGCTAAGAAATAACTAGAGAATAGCAAAAAGCATGCTTTTCTTAAGTCACATTCCTTTATCTTAACCAAGTGGTTCTTATATTACTCTTTTTTGCCTGTCTGCTGTTCTTACAAAATTTTCGTCAAAAAGTGGGGATTTGGCTTACCCCTTCCAAAAAATCAGCATTGTTTACTTTTCTATTTTAGGACAGACAACATAGAACATAAATACGAAATTGTTTTGGCAATTGATACTTCTACACCACGTAACAAATTAATCGGTGCTCTAAATATCAAAATGATCCAAACCAGATACCATAATTGGAGGAAAATCAAGAATAAGGCACTGCTTTACAATAGAGATATATGATAGTTTTTTTTTTTTTTTTTTTTTTTTTTTTTAATTCTTCGGCAAGTCTCGCCATGACTTTGGTTCCAACTATTATATAGATGACCCTAGTACGCATGCTACTTAGGGTCACAGGACCTCTATAATCTCATACGGGTACTATGTATCCACCTGGAATTCTGTTACCTGACATTCTCTGGTTTCCTTATTGGGCCTAGATCCGACCACCTGCACGACACTCCAGAGAGGTCGAATCACCTTTCTATTGTACTGGGATTTCACCAGCCAATCCGGTATCACCACGAGTTCTTGTAGTATCTTTATTAGGCTTGGCCTCACATTACGTCTCGTGACTTCGGTTATTCTAAATCGGGGGTCTAACACACCTCGTTTTATAGCCACAACTTCTCGGAATAACTATTCCCCGAATATGTCTATCTGTAGATATCCCGGGTTCCCTGTACCCCGCGGTGTTTCACTTCCGTTTTTGAATTTTCATTAATCCACCATTGGGAGAAATTGAACTAGCAACTATTCGATTTGTAACCTGAAAGCATAACTGCTATATTATCAACCCACAGGTCTGATATATGATAGTTTTTGAATTTTATTTATAAGATTTTTAAATCTAGTATACAATTTTTACAACTTGTACCTAGCATGGGCTATAATAGTGCTTTCATAAATTGTTTTTTTTTTGCCTTTTTCTTCTTGTTATATTTATTTATTTTTTTTTCATTTTTTTTGTTGCTTAGATAGTTTTTTCTTTCTCCTTTTTATTTTGTTTCCTTTATCTTTTTTTTGTATTAGTTTCTTTTTTTTCATAAGTTAGTTGGAAACTATAAATTCTTCTGCTCAGAAACTAGAGAAAGAAGGTTTAGAAAAAATAGCAATCTTAATAGGCCATAAATACTATTCAGTGATATATTAAAAAATTATTTGCAAGGTTTTTTTGATATTGAAATAAAAATTTACTATAGCAGATCGAATATAGGTACTCACAGAGAGCAACCAGATTAGCGAATACTTGTAATTTAAGTGGGCTTTAGATAACTTTAGTTAAATTGTATTTTACCTGTGAGTTGAATATTGTAGCCTAATAAAGTGTTAGCAAGATTGCTGAATATTTTAAAAAAAAAAAAAAACTATTTTTTAACAAAAAGATGAAGTAGTTTTTTAACTATAGTTACCCACTTCTAAGTAAATACAAATATTTTTTAAATGCATAATATATTGGGTGGTTTAGAAGTTTCAAACTATGGATTTTTTAAATAGAGAAACTATAAATAATTATTATTTTTTTTCAGTATTAAGGTGACCTCTTTGTCAATAGTAATTTATTATCATTAAGTATTATTTTGGTTACAATAAGAGTATATCAAGCCACATGTACACTTTTGATACCTAATTTAAGTAGTTTGCCCAAAGCAGTAGTGCTATACTAAGGGTTCTATACTATTTGCTATATCTGTACCTCACTATGTGAGGTATCTATCTAAACCCTTTGATCATATTCTTAATTTTACCATATGAAACTTAAGATTTTGGTATAACCTTACCATGCATACTAGGATAACATAGATCTATATAATATTATTAGTTCAACAGTCAGACTTAAAACGAGACTGATAGTCCTTATTTATCCTTAAAATAAACCTGCTAAAGTAGTACATTTCTACAATGTATTCATCTAGACTTTAGTAATTTATACTATGGCTTAAGGGTAGAGTGTATGTAGATCATTTCTACTAATAAACGAGTAACCAAAAATATTTTTCCTGCGAATTTAAAAGTTGCTACATATAAAAGTTAATTTTTTACTATATAAATTGTATTTATGTACTAAGTAAAATTG